GGAAAAGTGCCAAGGGAAGGGGGGAAAAGTGTCCAGACGGGGAAGGGGGGGGGAAAGTGTCCGGGAATAAAAGGGGGGGAAAGTGTCCGGATGGAAGGGGGGGGGGAAAGGTCCGGACTGGAAGGGGTGTAAGCGTCCGGACGGGAAAGGGGGGGAAAAGTGCCCGGAGGGAAAAGGGGGGGGAAATTTCCCGGACGGGAAGGGGGGGAAAAGTGTCCGGACTGGAAGGGGGGGGAAGTGTCGGACGGGAAGGGGGGGGGGAAAGGTCCGACGGGAAGGGGAGGGAAAGTGTCCAGACTGGAAGGGGGTTGAAGCGTCCGGGACGGAAGGGGGGGGGGGGAAGTTTGGGGGCGGGGGGGGGGGGGGAAAGCTCGGATGGAAAAGGGGGGGGGGGGGGGGGAAGTGTCCGGACGGGGAAGGGGTTTTTAAAGGAGGAGTTTTTGAGCTGGAAATACGCCCAAAAGGCCCCTGACCGCTTTGGGGGGGTTTTTTCTAGGCGCATTTAGCATTTTTTGCGTTTAATCACTTCAAGAAATTTATTATTTGGCCAAATGAAATGAATAGACCCCAGGTGTTGATGCTTTTTTAAATGTTTTGCAAAAAAAAAGGTTCGGCATGGTTTTTCAGCTACTTTTGCCTCCCCAGAAGACAAAAGCGTTCGAAGGCCCCAGTGTGCTTTGGGGGGCTAAACGCATCCCATGACGACTGGGCCCCCCCCCCCCCCCCCCAAAGTGTGTAAAATGCCCCTGGGAACTAACATTTTTTTTTTCCTTTTTTAACCTGCTCCTATGTAACCATATGTGCGGTAGTAAAGGAGGGGGCCTACAACCCCCACCGTGCCCTGGGGGCCGATTAGGGGCCCTTCTAGCACACAAACCGAGTTTTCAGAGACCGTCTTGGTCCCCCTAAGGTCAGCGTGGGGTTCTGGGGGCGTTCGCGGGGGAGGGAGTAAATTTGGGCAGCAGCGTTTTATCAATCAGCCTCTGCGTCCCAATCAGCGATGGGGACCGTCCGGCGTTGCTGTGCCAATAAACACATGAACAAGGGCTTTACTCAAGAGAATCCGCAGATTGTGACAAAAATGACAACAGCAAGTAAATAAAAAGAGAGAGGAAAGGAGTCGGGGGCTTGTGAATAGATATAGAAACATGACATTTCTTCACACAGTTATGGGAAAGGAAGTATAAGATCTAGTTATAGATACGCAGGGGCCGGTCTTCTTGTTATAGGAGGTGCAAAGTAAACACATATCATAAACTGAGTTTTTAAAGTGTTACCTAAAGACCCCGAACCCTGCATTCCACTATATCTGGTATCCCCGGAACACCCCGCATTCAAATCTATTATCCTCTCTCCCCGGACCCGCATGCACTATTATCTCGCTCTCCCCGGATCCCCGCATTCACTATATCCGCTCTCCCCCGGACCCCACGCATGCACATATATCTGTCTCCACAGGACTACCAGCATTCACTTTAATCGCTCTCACCGGACCCCGCATTCAAATATATCCTGGTCTCCCCAGGACCCGCGGCATTCACTATATCTGGTCTACCCCGGAACCCCGCATTCACCTATATATGGTCTCCCGGACCCTGCATTCACTATATACGCTCTCCTAGACCCTGATTTCACTTATATCTCGTCTCCCCGGACCCCCGCATTCTCTTTATCTGGTCTCCCTGGACCCTGCATTCACTATTATCAGCCCTCTCCCCAGACCTGCATACACTCTTATACGCTGCTCCCCAAGGACCCAGCATTCACTCTACACGTTCTCCCGGGACCCTGCTTTCACCCTAATAAAATTTTCCCCCCCGGGGGGCTATCCCCGGACCCTGCCATTCACCTATTATCTGGTCTTCCCCAGACCACTTGCATTTTAACTTATATTCAGTCTCACCGGGACCCCGCATTCAACCTATATCTGGTCTCACGGAGACCCCGCATTCACTTATATCTGGTCTCTCCGGGACCCTGCATTCACTATTTATCTGGTTCTCCCCGGACCCTGGCAATTCACTATATCCTCTCTCCCAGGACCCCGCATTCACTTATATCTGGTCTCCCCGGACACCGCATTCACTATTCATAACGCTCTCCCCCGGACCCCGCATTCACTAGATCCGTTCTCTCCCCAGACCCCGCATTCACTATATCCGCTCTCTCCCGACCCTGCATCACTATATCCCCCTCTCCTCCGGACCCGGGCATTCACTATTGATTCCCACTCTCCCGGACCCGGCCATTCACTTTATCCGGCTCTCCCCGGACCCCTTTTCACTATATCCGCTCTCCCCGGACCCTGCATTCACTATATTCCGCTCTCCCCGGACCCTGCTGTTCACTATTTCCGCTCTCCTGGACCCGGCATTCACTGTATATCCCCACTCCCCGGACCCAGGCATTTCACTATATCCTCTCTCCCCCGGACCCCGCAGTTCATTATATCTCGCTCCCAGACCTGCATTCACTATATCCGTCTCCTCCCGGACCCTGCATTCACTATATCCTCTCTCCCACAGACCCCGCATTACACTATATCCGCTCTCCCCGGACCCCGCATTCACTATATCCGCTCTCCCCGGACCCCGCATCACACTATATCGCTCTCCCCGGACCCCGCATTCACTATATCCGCTCTCCCCGGACGCCCGCATTCACTATATCGCTCTCCCCGGACCCGCCATTCACTATATCTGGTCTACCTGGACCCCGCATTCACTATATCTGCTCTCCCCGGACCCCGCATTCACTATATCTTGCTCTCCCCGGACCCCGCATTCACTATATCTGCTCTCCCCGGACCCCGCATTCACTATATCCTCCCCCCACCGCATTCACTATATCCGCCCCGGACCCGCATTTCACTATACTGCTCTCCCCGGACCCTGCATCTCTATACTCCGGATCTCCCCGGACCCCGCATTCACTATATCGCGATCCCCAGACCCTGCATTCACTTATATCCGCTCTCTCCCCGGACCCGCATTCATAATATCCGCTCTCCCCAGACCCTGCATTCATTTATCCGCTACTCCCCAGACCACTGCACTTTCACTCTAACCCCATTCCACTATCTCCCCCCGGACCCCGCATTCACTATATCGCTATCTCCCCGGACCCTGCATTCACTAACTTTAATCCGTCTGGTCTCCCCAGACCCTGCATTTACTATATCCGCTCTCCCCCGGACCCTGCATTGCATTCACTATATCCGCTCTCCCGGACCCCGCATTCACTATATCTCCCTCTCCCGGACCCCTGATTCATTATCGGTTCCCCAGACACCCCGCATTCACTAGGTCCCTCTCCCCAGACCCTGCATTCACTATATATCGCTCTCCCGGACCCCCGCATTCACTATATCCGCCTCCCCAGACCATGCATTCACTATATCCAGCCTCTCCCCGGACCTGCATTCACTATATATCCGCTCTTCCCGGACCCCATACATTCACTATATCTGCTCTCCCTGGACCCGCATTCACTATATCCACTCTGGCCCTGGACCGGTGTTTGCATTCACTATATCCCTCTCCCGGACCCGCATTCACTATATCCATGCTCTCCCCCGACCCCGCATTCACTATACCTGCTCTTCCCCGGACCCTGCATTCACTTATATCCCGCTCCTCCCGGACCCTGCATTCACTATATCCGCTCTACCCTGGACCGGCTAATTCACTAATATCCCCACTCCTCCGGACCCGGACACACATTCACTATATCGCTCTCCAGGACCCTGAATTCACTATATCCCCGCTCCCGGACCCTGCATTCACTATATCCGCTCTCCCCGGACCATGCATTCACTATATCCTCTCTCTCCCAGACCCCTGGCATTAACTATATCCGCTCTCCCCGGACCCCGCTTCACCTATATACGCTCTCCCCGGACCCCGCATTTCACTATATAGCTCTCCCCCGGACCCCGCATTCACTATATCCGCCCTCCCCCGGACCCCGCATTCACTGATATCTGGTCTACCTGGACCCCCGCATTCACTATTATCTGCTCTCCCCGGACCCCGCATTCACTATATCTGCTCTCCCCGGACCCTGCATTTCACTATATCTGGTCTCCCCGGACCCCTGCATTCACTATATCGGTCTCCCCGGACCCTGCATTCACTATATCTGCTCTCCCCGGACCCGCATTCACTATAATCTGGTCTCCCCGGACCCTGCATTCACTATATCCGTCTCCCCCGGACCCCGCATTCACTATATCGCTCTCCCCAGACCCTGCATTCACTATATCCGCTCTCCCCGGACTCCGCATTCATAATATCCCGCTCTCCCCAGACCCTGCATTCACTCTATCCGCTCTCCCCAGACCCTGCATTCACTCTACCCCCCCGTTCTCCCCGGACCCTGCATTCACTATATCCGCTATCCCCGGACCCCTGCATTCACTATATCTGGTCTCCCCAGACCCTGCATTTACTATATCCAGTCTCCCCCGGACCCTGCATTCACTATATCTGCTCTCCCCGGACCCCGCATTCACTATATCTGGTCTCCCCGGAACCCTGCATTCACTATATCCGCTCTCCCCGGACCCCGCATTCACTATATCCGCTCTCCCCGGACGCCCCGCATTCACTATATCCGCTCTCCCCGGACCCTGCATTCACTATATCCGCTCTCCCCAGACCCTGCATTCACTATATCCGCTCTCCCCAGACCCTGCATTCACTCTACCCGCTCTCCCCTGACCCTGCATTCACTATATCCGCTCACCCCGGACCCCTGCATTCACTATATCCGCTCTTCCCGGACCCCACATTCACTATATCTGGTCTCCCTGGACCCGCATTCACTATATCCACTCTGCCTGGACCCTGCATTCACTATATCTGGTCTCCCACAGTACACACAACATGGAATGCAATTATTTTAGTAAATATAAACTGCTAAATACCTTTTCTCATCAGCAGTATATAGTCCTGTGACTTCTATCAGTGTTCAGCCAGGCCCGAGCACTTGTTAAAGCTTGTAGGAGGAGTTTTAATTTTGCTCTAGGAGGATGCAGAACCCCTGACCTTCTGTCTGGACAGTGCCGATTGGTCCTGTGCTGATCACATGCACTCTCCCAAGGGAAAAAAAAAAAAAACCTCTCCCTGGATATTTTCTCTACAAATGCAAAGCATTCTCTGATTGGACATGGTGGAGAGAAAGGCCAGCCCAGCTCTCCACCAGGAAAAACACAACTGGCTGCTTGCTCCCAGCACAGTGCCTGAATTGTCAAAAGACGGTTCTTGTTTTCTGCTGCTGATCGGTAGCCAGTGTGACTGTCTCTCGATCATGTGACCACTGTCACAACCAATCACAGTGGTCATTTGATTGTAAGCCCGATTCTTCCCGTTTTCCCCATGGTGTAAAGGTCCTGTGAAAGGGACGTCGGGGCTGGATGAAATGTTTTTAAAGCAAGAAGGGCCGACCAGTACTTGGTTGTCCCCAGGTCTTCTAACCCAATACTACAGTTCTGGTGGGACGGCACTGGGAACTGGGGTCCAACAATGAAGGGTACCTGTTGTCTCGAGGCTGGTCTGGACAGCAGCTGGTAGCAGAATCCCGGGACAGCTAACGATTGGTAGGTGGTGGGACTGGCTCCCAATCATGTTACCACTGTCACAACCAATCACAGTGGTCATTTGATTGTCCGATTCTTCCCGTTTTCCCCATGGTGTAAAGGTCCTGTGAAAGGGACGTTGGGGCTGGATGAAATGTTTTAAAGCAAGCAGGCCGACCAGTACTTGGTTGTCCCCAGGTCTTCTAACCCAATACTACAAGTCTGGTGAGACGGAACTGGGAAACTGGTGGCAACAATGAAGGGTACCTGTTGTCTCGAGGCTGGGTCTGGACAGCAGCCGGTAGCGGAATCCCAGGGCACACATACTCTCATTTAAACATATTCCTCATGTCTCAAAGACAGCTCTCGGCCTCTGCTAATGATTGGTAGCTGGTGGGACTGGCTCCTGATCATGTGACCACTGTCACAACCAACCAACAGTGGTCATTTGATTGTCTGATTATTCCCATTTTCCCCATGGTTGTAAAGACCCTGTGAATAGGATGTTGGGGCTGGGTGAAAAGAGGTTCAGGCAAGAATAGGCTCCCGATCATGTGAACCACTTCACAACCAATCACAGTGATTATGTGATTGGCCGATTATTTCCCGCTTCCCTATGGTGTATAAGACCCTGTGAAAGGGATGTTGGGGCCTGGGTGAAAGAGGTTCAGGCAAGAAGAGGCTCCGATCATGTGACCACTTCACAAACCAATTACAGTGGTCATGTGACTGGCTATTTCTTCCCACTTCCCCCATGGTGTAAAAACCCTGTGAAAAGGATGTTGGGCAGGCGCACAGTGGCTAAATGGTTATCACTTCCGTCTGGCAGTACTAGGGTTGTTGGTTCAAATCCCAACCACGGCAGCCACCTGCCTGGAGTTTGCATGTTCTCCCTGTGCCAGCGTTGCTGTTTCCTCTGGGTACTCCCGGTTTCCTTCCACACTCCAAAAGACATGCAGGTAGGTTAATTGGATCCTGTCTAAATTGGCCCTAGTATGTGTATGTATGGATGTAAGTCAGGGACCTTAGATTGTTACGCCCCTTGAGGGTTAGAGGACCTTAGGATTGTACGCCCCTTGAGGGTTAGGGACCTTAGATTCTACGCTCCTTGAGGGTTTAGGGACCTTAGATTCTACGCTCCTTGAGGGTTAGGGACCTTAGATTGTAACGCCCCTTGAGGGTTAGGGACCTTAGATTCTACGCCCCTTGAGGGTTAGGGACCTTAGATTCTACGCCCCCTTGAGGGTTAGGGACCTTAGATTCTACGCTCCTTGAGGGTTAGGGACCCTTAGATTGTACGGCCCCTTGAGGGTTAGCAGACCTTAGATTGTACGCCCTTGAGGGTTTGGGTTAGGGACCTTTAGAAGTTTGTACGCGCGCCCGGGCTTGTGGGGTTAGGGAGCCTATTCAGGAGATTGTACGCGTGGGGACCCTTGAGGGTTAGGGTTTACCTTAGATTGTACCCCCCTTGAGGGTTAGGGACCTTTAAACGATTCTACGCCCCTGAAAGGGTTAGGGACCCTTAGATTGTACGCCCCTCTGCGACGCGCACGGACCCCTTAGGGACCTTAGATTGTACGATAAAGCGCCTTCATCATGTGTGACCGAATATATAAAGAGGGAATACTCTTAGATCATAACGTAAACAGCTAAACAAGCTGACCCGAAGAAGGATGTCGCTGCCCCTACAGAGTAATTGAGCGAAACGTTTATGTGGACCTTAGATTGGTACGCTCCTCGGGGCGCGGGGGGGAATGATGTGAATTGTACAAATATAATATGTAAAGCTGCTGTCTTAATTAGATGGCGCTTTTTAAAGTACCTGAAAAAAATGGTTGAGGGCTGGGTGGAATTGTGAAAAGAGGTTCAGGCAAGAACAGGGCTCACCAATCAAGGTGATCACTTGTCAGCAACCACATCACATTACTCATGGTGAATGGACGATTGCTTCCAGCTTTCTTCCCATGATGTAAACGCCCTGTGAATAAGAAAGGGACGTTGGTGTGCTGGGTAAATAAGGGGTTTGCAGCACTGGGGGGGGGGGGGGGAAGGAGGCTCGCTGAACTCTTGTGACCACTTCACAACCCATCACATGTGGACATGTGACTGGCTGATTCTTTCGCGGCTTCCCCATGATGGAAAAGGCCCTGTGAAAAAGACTTTGGGGTTGGGTTTGTGTAAAGGGCCGTGCAGACATATACTCGAGTTCCTGATTCATGTTGACACACGGCCCACAATCACCAGTGGTCATGTGACTGGCTGATTCTTCCTGCTTCCCCCATGAATGGAATGGCCCTGTGAAAATGAGACTTTGGGGATGGGTTTAAAGGGGTGCCAGACAAGAATAGGCTCCTGTTCATGTGACCACTGGCCATAATACACAGTGGTCATGGCCGATTGGCTTGATTACTTCCTGCACCCCCCCCCCAAACCTAAAAGACCCGGTTAAAGGTACTTTGGATGAGACAGAGGGTTATGGCAAGCAGGCTGACCGAGTACGTGTGTTTTCTCCCAGGTCTTCTGAACCAATACGCAGTTTCCTGGCCAGATTGCACTGGGGAATGGACAAAGCAAGGGTTACCAGTAGCCTCGTGGCTGGTCAGGCAGT